TTTTGCATAGTTTGGTGATAAGTTACCACGATGCAGTAGTACTTATTTTTGTAGAGTGGAGAAGTTGTAGAGTCCTGATGGTTGTCAGCATAACTATAGAATGTTTCTATAAAGCCCTTACATATTGGTCTGTCAGCTCCGATGGTCACAGTGATACTAAAACCAGCCTTATGTTTCAGTTATGCAGTGATACAAGAATGACCACTCTAATATGTTCAGCATGTGTACAGCAACTGAGAAATGCTTCGAATTTTAAAACTAAAGTACTGGCTACAGAGAAACTCTTATTAAAATCATTCAGTTCAGAAAATGATAAACAGATGGTGTTATTTAATTGTAATAATAATGGTAATTATTTGATAACTTATAATACTAAAATATACTAGTGGTTTTACATTATTCACTGTTCAGATATATGTAAACAAAATATCGTAAGCATGGTCAGATTATAGACTGAAGATTTACGGTGTACACTAAAGAGAAAGTTATTTGTATAACCGATATCTAAAATAGTGAAAACTGTAAATGGATTTACTAATCTGCGACTTTTGCTGTCAGGATGTAAATCATATGGACAAAGTCATGTAAAAACTAGTATTTAATGAGAATATGTATTTAATATACATTTAACACATTACAGCCGGAGACAACATGATGCTAAATCAATTTATTTTAGAATCTTATATTATTTTCAGTTGCATCAGAAATTGATGAATTCAAAGCAGAAATTGCAATAAAAGAAGAGGTAGAGGAAGGAAGAGTTGATTCTAATGTTGATTTATTACATTGCGAGTTAGAGCTTATTAGTGACGGTATGAAAATGTCCCTTAAATTATTCCAATTATTATTGAATCAAGATTGAAAACCTGTAGCAGAGTAGTTCATACACCAGTTTGTAGTGTCGCCATCTCTGTGGTATCGAGTTCGATTCCTAGTTGGGTCAATGGAGAAAAAGGACTTCCCTATATGGTCTCAGGTCTTGAGTGTTGTAGTACCTTGGTTGTCAGATACTCTATAAATGGGGGCTTTAGCTCAGGGCTTTAGCTACTGCTGTCTCAATAATACGGGCTACAGGGACCCTCCCTGTGTGTGTGTAAATGAATATTTTTACACTTCATTTGGGCCGATTATGATACAGCGATTATGAATATCAAATTGACTTTAAAAGAATGTCAATGACAGCTGTATAAATAAATAAATATTATGGAATCCTAATAAAAAAAATCTGAATAACACAGGTATCATAACACCCAAATCCAAGATATATTCATTTTCTACATTCACCTGACATGGTATTGGACCTGGACCTCATATAACGCAAACAACTCTTAGTAGGGGAGCCCACGATGCTAAAAAAGGGATTTACTCGAGCGTCATAGAGACGTTATATTGGGTTGCGAAGCTTAGATGATAACAAAAAGAAAATTTCATATAATATATACCTTTTCATCGGTGGGGGGAAGCGGCTAAAGATTTTAAAAAATGTAAAAAAAAACTGTTGTATGGACATACTCGAGCGCGTCAGATATTAATATCATCCATGTCCTACGCATTGTTAAAAATTGTCGTATGTTAATCTGATCATTTCCATGATGGGGGTGGTTATACGTAAGGGTCGAAAATGAAAAAAAAAGAAATTTAATCGAGCGCGTCAGATTTTTTGAGGGGATGTCAAGTGAACCTAAAAAAAGCTCTCATATAATAATCTGACGATTTGGATGTGACGCAAACGCGTGACCATTATTAGAATGTGCAAAAAAAATCGCCATTTGGAAATACTCAAGCGCGTCAGATTAAGATATATATGGTTCATCTTTATGCCCCAGACGTGATATCTCATAATCTGACGATTATCTGAAGGGATTTACTTAAACTGACACTAAAAAAATATTTTTTCGAATCATTGCAAAGCTTAATTAAATAGAAAAGCATCCGGAGTTAGCATGCAAATAAAAAAGTGTCTGTTTTTTTTTATGTAAAATACTTATATTTATAAGAAAATGATTATATGAAAATTTAATTTTTACAGTTTTTTTTTATTAATTATCATATTCATCGCTAGAATCATATTCCTCTTCTTCTCTTAGTAAATATGTAAAAAGTTTAATTCACAAAATTTACATTAAAATAACAAAATAAGCAAAAACGTTGGAAATACGATGTAAACAATATCACGCCACGAACGAGTCTGTGTCATCAGCTGTCATGGCGTCATGGCAACCGAAACCAGAGTGGGGACGGAGTGAGAGAGTAATAGATAGAAAAAGAGTGAGAGAGAAATAGTGATGCGGAGAAGGAAATATAGGTATCACGTAGCTTAAACGCATTAAATCTTATCGATGAATTTTTATTACTTCGGCTTGTGAAAATCGTCAGATTATATATTTTTCGTAATCCTTGAATGACTCCCTTCAAAATAAAAAAAAATTTAGCCACGCTCGAGAATGTCAAAGTGACGTTTTTTTTTACAACTTTGTAGCCTTCCCCCTTCTTTACGTCACTCTCAAATTGTCAGATTAGAGGTATGTACACATTTTAGCATGTAACTAACTTACCTTACCTTAATCTGACGTGCTCGAGATTTTCAGATGATCAATTTTTTTTTACTAATCTGATCCTTCGTCCTTGCCGGGTGGCCATTTTTATAGGGCTCATACTTGGTCCAGGTACTTAACTGGGTAATTGCGCGCTCCGGGCTCCTGTAGCTTTCCGCCCCATCAAGGAATGAAAGGAAACAAAAAAAAAATTATCGATTTTATATTTTACATTTTTTTCTGTGGACAAAATTTTTAATAAATTCGTTTATTACATCGTCATAATCAATTTTATTTGTTAAATCGGCTTCGATGTTCAAAATTGCCAAATTATTAAGCCGTTCTTCGATAAGACGCGATCTTAAATAGTTTTTTATCCGTTTGAGTACCGAAAATGAGCGTTCTGCACTACAATTCGTTACTGCAGTACAAAGAAATATGCGCAACGCAATTTCAATGTAAGGAAACGCCACTTTCAGATCCTTTTTATTAATTAATAAGTTTAGTTCGCGTAAACTTGTTTTAGTTTCTTGTCCCTGAGATGGCAAAAAATTCTTTAATAGTATGCATTCATCCTTTAAATCATCCGCAAGATCAGTAGGATAAGACTTTTGGAGTGATAATGCGTTCAATTTAATTTCCGCCTCAGATAGTGTACTTAAATTGGATAGAAATACAAATTTGGCGGTTACAGCGTCATAGGATGTTTTACGCCTCCTTAACTCGCCCAACAGTTGGTCGCATATTGGCAAAAAAGTATTCACTTTAAAATAGTCCCGTCCTTGTAAAATTACTTCTCCTTCGCGTTGCTCATCGTCTCGTTTTTTTCTTTTTGTTATCCTTTTCCGGCTATCTTTGTAATCTTCAGTGCACTTTTCTTTTCCAGCTTTTTCAAATGCATCGAATAATTCGCGTTGATTTTTCACAAAAGTAATCAGGGAATCGTAAAGGTTGGAGACTACCTCAACGTTTGTGTCCACACCTTGCAAAACTTTAGAAACGGTATTAAATTGTTTTAGGACTGATCCCCAGAATTCCGATAATATCGCTGTTTCTAAGGAATTCAGTTGAGCCAATAAACCTGTAGCTTCATTTTTGATTAAAGCTTTTTGTTGCGAAGAGTTACTTTTTATTGCTTCCAGAGCTTTAATTATTTGTTCCCAATTTTTATTCAGGCTCGAGCAAGCATCATCTCTTGCCGACCACCGCGTATGTGACAAACTTTTAACGGTTACATTTTCAGGTTCCGTTAAAAATGTTTGCAATATTTTTGTACGTTCCGTTGATCCTGTAAAAAATACGTACAGATTTTGCAATACTCCCAAAAACTTTGTAGCTTCTGGGCAACACTCAGCTGCTGAGGATCCGATCAAATTTAAGGAATGTGCGGCGCAAGGTATATATATTTCATATTGGCATTTTTCTTTAATCTTTGCCTGCAGGCCGTTATACTGCCCCGACATGTTGCTTGCATTATCATAAGACTGACCTCTATAATTGGCAATATCGATATTCAGTATGTCAAAAGTCTTTAAAATGGCTTGCAACATGTCTTCTGCTTTGTGACCAGTATTTGGCAGAAAGCAAAGGAAACGTTCAACTGGTTCTGCATTTTCTTGAACAAATCGCACAATTATAGAAAGTTGATCTTCATGGGTTATGTCCGGAGTAGAATCAACACTAAAAGAAAAGTATTTGGCTTTTTGAAGTTGCTCAATTATGGTTTCGGTAACTTTGTCAACCATAATTTTAATATTTTTTTCATATGTTGCAAATGATAAGTAAGAGGTGTTGCCCTTTCCTGGGTTGCCAAAATGCTCAATATGTTTGGCAAGAAATGGATCAAACTCTGAAATAGCTTCCAACATCATCAGAAAGTTTCCATTATTTGTGGATCAAAATTTATCTGTCTTTCCACGAAAAGGAAGTCCACGCGTAGCTAGATGTTTCACAGCTACAACTACTCGAAGTAATACGTTACGCCAATACTTTTTTTCATCTTCTAATTGTATATATAATTGAGAATCAACCCGGGTCTCTACTTGTCCCCGATTTTTCATTTTTAGCAAACAGTTTTTATGCCCCAAACTAGACTCATGAACCTTAAGTCTCTCGTGAGCATGTTTCCAATCAGAAAAACCTAATTCAGAAGTAAGTTGACCTCCATGTTCACTTTCGAAAAGACGACATGGTGCACAAAATATGGAACCCTTTGATTTTGAATATATTAAATAATTACGACAAACTTTCTCTCTGTTTATGAGTCTGGTTTTAAATATTTTTTTGTTCAAGAAGCGATATTGAACCTCGGATCTTCGCTTGGATTTGGAAAAAAATAGACGGTTCAACCGGTTCAGGAAAGAACAAGGGGCGGCTTGCATACTTCAATTAATTTCGAATTTCTCCAGACATGAAATCCACGCACATCACAAGGGGCGGCTTTCATACTTTATTTGAATTTCAAATTTCTTCAGACATTAAATCAACATGTGGAAAGGTGGCTCAGGGGCGTTCTAGGCTTAAGTCTGAAAATATTTTTTGTATTTTTTCAAACGTCCAAACCAAAGCCCTAGCCCTGGGCCGCCCCTCGCGGCCTGCCGCCCCGGGCTATAGCCCTTCTGGCCCTAGGGTAAATACACCCCTTCCTAAACTATACTAAATCAAATCTAATCAGCTTGACCATGAACAAAACAGACCGTCCCATTTACTACGTATTAGTTTGAAAACTTTTACTATAATATATTTTATTTCAGATGATTTAATAACAGAAGAGCTAGATTTTCGGGAAAAAACTCTTTTAAATAGATTTCCACAAGGCTCCCTACAAGTGCTACCGAACAGGTTGAAAATGCGCAAGTTGTGTTCTGAATACTTTTACCAACTGGAAAAACTAAGAGGTCCGTATATAATTTTTTTTTTACATTATTGACATATAAAATCAGTTTATTAACGTTGTTCTTGTGTAATCGGCTTAAAAATATTGCACAGGTCTTCTTAATACAATAGGATCAAAAGTTAGATAGGCCATCCACCTAGTACTAAATAAGTAAGTGCAATTGATTGCAGAATTCCAATCGAGACCATTCACTTATCGTGTTTTCCTAAGCACGACGAAGTATGAAATAATACAGTGGACCCCCGGTGATCCGACAAACGTTTTGCAGGGCAGTGTCGGACTATCGAATTTGTCGGATTATAGAGTACTGCCAAATACGCCCTATAGTTTTTTTTTTTTAATTACAGATCAGTGATAAAGATCTATATGTTATGTATATATCTATATTACTCTGAAGTACAAATCATACTTCATTATGTATATCGAATCTAGTAGGTAAATTAAAAAACATAATATAGAGCTTACGTATTAATATAATGTAAAAGTGATGCGAGTGAGTAATGTGAAAAATAATAATTTGCATTAGGAAATAATTGTGTACAAACAAATGTACGTAATAAACAAACAAACCTACGCGTCGAGCGCAATAATGGTGGCGCGCACAAATTATGACCTGTTCAATCATGCATTACGTATCTACCAAAAAATATTCGGACATGTCGGATTACAGGGGGCGCCGGATTAGACAGGGGCCGGATTACTGGGGGTTCACTGTATCTACTATGTTTAGCTGATTTATGTCGCAGACAATTGGTTGAATGGTGAAATTTCACCACATGCCTAATTATGTTGTATAATAACCACTATAAAATTAAAAACATTCAATAGAATTAGTCTTGTTGAATTAGGTAATCTTGAATTATGTGTGTATTTTAATTCAATGCAATGTCAAACTCATGCAAGAACAGTTACTTACGTAGCAACCCCATCGGGCGGGAATCTAATCCAGCATAGCATGACAAAATCGAGAAACGTTTTGTCTACATCAAATTTAACTTTTCTCGTATGATATTGTATGGGCGCACCCGAGACAAATGACGTTTGGTGTAGACCAGTGATTCCCTAAGTGGTCCAGGTGGACCCCCAGGGGTCCACGAGGGATTCAACGGGGGTCTACGTTGGCGTGAAATAAAAATAGAAGAGGCGAATTTAGGGTTGGAATTCCCGCGACGCCAATTTCCATCGTTAGATCTCACATTTTCGACGAATTTTGGGAATATGGTAAAAATGTAGCAGAAGGGGTCTACGAGAAAAAATTGTTTTGGAACCTCTGGGTAGACAAAACGTACTCTACTTCGTCATGCTACGCTAGTTTGCACTCTCTTATAGAAATCTAAATGACATTGTTCTCGATAATATTTAACTACAAACTTTTCCAAATCATCACTCCTTTTACAGGTAAAAGGATAACAGCGAAAATGCTAGAGCGCAGATTCACAAACGTCGATATCAGCCATCCCGTTATTTCGTCGCCAGATCTTGTTACACGACCATTCAAGCCGACCGAAAAAACTGGGCATATAACAAATATAACGGCCCTTCTAACGTACTCCAACGTCACTGCATTCAAAACTAAATACAAGAATGGTTTTCCGTGTTTCTATTGCAACACTCGTTTCGATAACCTAGAAATATTGAGATGTCACCAAAAGAACCATTGCAAAGAAAACATTATGGCATTAGTCAAAAAGAAATATAGGCCAGGACGTCCAGATTGTTTAGTAGTGTACGTTGAAGTGACAGACTTGAAATGTACATTATGTGAGCGGAGTATAAAAAACCTGAACGCTTTGAAGATTCATTTGACAAGTGAACATAAGAAAACTATGTATTTACAATACACAGACAGAGTGATCCCATTCAAGATACTAGGAGCTGGTTATATGTGTCAAATATGCAATTTCTACTTTGAAACGTTCGGTACAATTGAGAAACATATGAACACACATTACAGGAACTTCGTTTGCGAACAGTGTGGTGCCGGATTCATAGCTAAGAATAGATTAAAAATTCACGTTTACAATATTCATAGGGGTGTCGGTGTATTCCCCTGTGAGAAGTGCAATAAAACTTTTCATACACGCAACAAACTTAAAGTGCATTTCGATTTGGTGCACAAAATGGTGAAAAAGATACAGTGTCCTAAATGTCCTGCGAGGTTTGCTTACTATTTTGTTTGCCAAAAACATTTGGTGGATGTACACGGGATGATTCCTGTAAAATATAAGTGTAACGTCTGTGATAAAGCCTTCACTAGAAGATTCCACTTATCCAATCATATAAAGAAAGATCATTTAGATGAAAAAAATACATACTGTCAATTGTGCACGTATAATTGTTTTAGTAATAATGAATTGAAAATTCATATGGCAAAACAACATGGAGAAAAATTATTCGAGTGTTCAGTCTGTGAAAAGTGTTATTCTAGTCAGAAATCTTTGAAACAACATATGAATATACATAGAGATACAAACAAACAAGAATTTGAATGAAGTAGGAACTCTACATTGTTAGAATACTTATTATTATTAGCTTTTGACAGTTCTTATATCATTCAATTTCTCATCTATTGGTTAAAAACATTTGCTTCAGTTATAACGTTTTCACAAGTGATTACTTATCTCGACTGAAGATATGAGTATCAGAGTATGAGTCGACCACTTTCAAAGACTGCAATCTTAGTTTTTGTCAAAAATTAGTGGCATGGGCATACAGAAAATAATGAATCGACCAATCAGAAGCGAGAGTTCTTTAAGTGTACAGAAAGTGTAAACGGTATGTCCGACGCTGTGTGTTTTAAGTGTTTTGTAAATAGAATTAAAATTTAAAGCGACAAAATATTATGGAGGCTAGTCTTAACAAACGCTAATGATTTTACCAACAACCACAAGAAAAACGTTGAATATTGTTCGGGAAACACAAAAGATTATGTGGTAATAATACAACAAATCAAAGTCGACAGTTTATTTATTAATTAAAATAAAAACAACAAATCAATCAGATTCCTTAAAATCTTTCATAGGCTTTAAAACTTAAATTATAACACATAAGTATCTACAAAGTTCATTGTGTGCAATAAAATTGTGACCAGGCAACAAAAAACTAATATGTGTTACCAATTTTTTTGCAAAAAAAATCCTATAGATAGTATTAAAAATAAAACTATGTTTTTAGAACCACATGCTTTAGTTTGATTCCTATTTCTTTCCATTTCCTGAAAATATTAAGGATCTTTAATCGTGGATCATCATCACAAATAGTTGATGGAAAGTCGCGATGCTCTTTAGGTAAATAGAGCTTTTGAAACAACCAGTCATCACCCAGCATATTAATGTGAATCGAATAGGTGCAATGGGCCATGATCTACTCTGGCCCAGTCCAGGTACAACATGCCTTTCCAAGCACGTAGGAGCTTGAGTTAGCATATTTTTGGTCACTCATCCTATGAACGGCCATTGTAAAAGTTGCTTAACAATCACCACTGCGCCATTGAGTTCCTCCCAGTACAGATTCAATGGTCTATTTTTTATAAAAATTCAATAAGATTAAAAACAAATGTTGAGAATCTGAGGTGGTTGAAATAACAAAATCTAATTTTTAAGCATTCTGAGTTAATTGTATCTAGAGAAAATTATGCTAATTCAACATATTGCTTGCGACATGGCCACAACAAATTTTTATTACAAATTAGTTAAACAATGTGTAAACAAGTTATTGATATGTAATTGACACATATTTAAGTATAGTCGACAACACATAGGTTAAAAAGAGCTTAAAAAATCCAATTGATTTTAAACTTTAACGCAGAATGTTGACATTTTGTGTTCAATGGTCTTTTATTTTTCTAACTTAATTAAAAAATATAATTTAATCTGTAGATTAATATTTAATGTCTTTTTGTCATTAAAACAGTTATAAATTAATTGGCATTAATAATACAATTCAACTTACAGCAGCATTATGGCAAAGTAGCATTTTATTATATGAAAAGGTCCAGTTAGAATTAGCGAGACAACAAAGGGTGTGTAATATATGGCATAATAACAAAATATAAGTATAAAATTTACAACCTATATCTTTGAATAACATAATTTTGTTTAATATACTAATTATTACATATAATAAACAGAAAATATAATTTTGAAAGAAATACCGGTCAATCAATATATAACATTCATTTAATTTAAACCCACATTATATAATAACATCAAGTACACAAATCAATTTACTTATTAATATATTATAACTTATAATATTCAGTTCTTATAGTAGACAATTCATACAAAATTCAAATCACATAAGATTATTAAAAAAAATGAACATTTGAAATAATACTCGGCGGTACATATAAAACGCGTAAGGCTTATTTCGTCAAATTTTGAAATAAAATTCTAAAATACTATTAAACGCCTTAAATTAATGAGGGAGTATTTAAAAATAAAAAGATAGCACCAAAAAAAGCACCTCCACTAGATGGCGACTCTAGAAAAAGTTGATTTTTGCAGGATATGAATGGACCAAAGATAGTCATTTCCGTTCCTTTTAACTAACTTAATAAAAATTAAATTTGCTAAGCCCGTAACTTAGATATCAATAGAATTACGATAAATTACAAATAGAATATGAGTTGCTTATTGAGTTTTGAAAACTAATTTACTTTTAGACATGAAAGAAAGAAAACCGGAAGGGTTGTCATGGTGAAATCAAGAAAGTACCGTAGCGACATCTAATTTGATTTCGGTAACTTTTTTTTTTTTAATATTGCCTCATTAGAAACTAACGCAACCTGAGGAGAGAGAATTTAGTGTTGCCATCGAAATCCAATCCATCCAAATCATACAAAAATTAATAGTTTTTCTTTAACACTTATGATGTTGAGCAAGCAACTTCTTACTACGCGAAAATATGAGATATATTTTTTTGGTGATATGGGTAGTTGTATATAAAACATAAATTGTCATTTACCTAATTTTATAAACCCAATTTGTTAACTAAAGATATTTTTTTTAATAATATTTTTAAACTCACACGATTTGTATACATTATAATTATATGCAATCGGGTCTTGTTCGTGCATTTTTTTAAAACAATTAATTTACCTCGACGTTTCGGCTACGTTACAGCAGCCGTGGTCACGAGGAGACTGGAGAACTGGCGGGTGTCGTCTTCTGATTTTAGTTGAGGGTAATCCGGTAATAATGTTTTTAACTGATTTTCAGATGTACCCTCCACTTGATTTTATTATACGTAAAGGTGGCGACACACTGCACTTACGGTATCCGAGAATATTGTTCGTGGTTGTTTGCGATCGCGACACTTATACATTTTTATAACCGGATTCCACGTTGGTGAGAGTTTATATCCACTTTCCCGGTTGAAATTGTTGTGTTTTTTGATTTCAACCGCTTCACGAACAATCCTTGGATAGTAATGTCGTTCAGTGGAAAGGACATGAGGTGTATGTAACTCGATCCAGTGGTTTGATCCAGATGATAATAAGTGCTCTGCAATCGCGGACTTCTCCACTTGACGATTTTTGACCGCTGCTATGTGTTCTCTTACACGTTCGGCGATAGTCCGCTTCGTTTGTCCGATATATGAACTACCGCAGCTGCAGTCAATTTTATAAACGCCAGGTTTTTGGTAAGGAATACTATCCTTTGGTGATCGCAATTGGTGTGACATTTTTGATAAAGGAGTAAAAATGGTGTCTATAGAAAAATTTTTCCTCAAAATGGAACCGATTTTGTCCGTTACTCCCTTAACATAGCCTAAAAATGCCCGTTGCCTGGGAACCTTAGGTAGTCTTTCCTTACACCTTCGGATAGGGTATGACCTCCTTGCGCTGTATCCATTTTTCCTTAGCACGTCCTGTACATGGGACAACTCATCTGCTAAGAAGTCAGTATTACATAATGCGTTAGCCCTGTTAATAAGAGTTGTCTCCACAGAACGTAGGTGTTGAGGATGATGATGAGATGAAGCGTGGAGGTACTTGTCTGTGTGTGTTGGTTTCCTGTAGACAGTGTGTTTCAGGGACCCATCAGCTTGCGCCATGACTTTAACGTCCAGAAAGGGTAAGGTTTTGTCACTCTCTAACTCATAGGTGAACTTGAGATTCGGATGGATATTATTGACGTGTGTAAGGAACTGCTCAATCTCCGGTTTGTCGCCCTTCAGGATACAGAACACATCGTCTACATACCGTTTCCACATACGGATCCCATGTGACTGGTAATCTATCAATGACTCGACATGTTCCATCCATATATTGGCCAAAAGTGGCGCTACGGGGCTACCCATGGCGACACCATCAATTTGAAGGTAATGTTTGCCGCGATATAGAAGATAGCTGCCATCTAAACAGTTCCGTAATAGAACCATGTACCCTTCCGGTATATCGTTTTGTCTAAGTTTCATCCTAACAACCTCTAGACAGTCCTTAACTGGAACTTTGGTGAACAGCGACTCAACATCAAAACTCACCATTACGTCATCCGGATCCAGTTTTGTATCATCAAGGATCTGTACAAAATGACGCGAGTCCTTCACAAAGGATGTTGTAGTGCCCACAAGGGGTTGCAGTACGGAAGCAACGTGTTTTGCCAAATAATAAGTAGGTGAGTCAATCTGACTCACAATCGGTCTCAGTGGAACGCTGGCCTTATGCACTTTCGGCAATCCGTATAATTTTGGTGGTTGTACTATCTTCGGTTTGTATAGGTTCTCAAAGATGTCCTCGGTGAAAAGGTGTTTATAATCCCTGATAACAGCACGTATTCTCCTTGTAACTCTCGCAGTTGGATCGTACGATACCGGCTTATATATGTTATCATCTTGCAACAGAGCAAGTATTTTGGAGTCGTAATCGCTAGTATTTATCACGACGGTAGCGTTGCCTTTGTCGGCCTTGAGAACGAGAAGGTCCTTATTAGTTCTCAAGTTCTTAAGAGCTCTACGCTCTTCGCTCGTGACGTTGCTCTTAGGTACTTTGGATTTACGTAACACGATAGCGACATCTTGCCTCAAAGCGTCGGCATCATCAGTTGGTACCTTATTACGAACTATTGTCTCCTCTATACTGCTGATGATATGTTCATACGGTATCCTCTTCGGGGTAGTAGCAAAATTCAGTCCCTTTGCTAAAACACTGCGAGTGGCACCGTCAAGTGTAGTATCAGATAAGTTGATGACGTCATCAACTGACTCCCCAGTGATCCTTGATCTTCCACTACGAAACAGCAATTTTTCGAATTTACGTTCATGCTTTTGCGTGGATAACTCGAAAATTCTGCTTGCTTGCTGATACGTTACGCGATCACATAACTCAAAATCACTGTACGATAGCTCGGACACACACTCACTATGCACTTTATAAAGGGCACGCTGTACACTGTCCAACTCACGATGACCGTTACGTATCAGTTGTTTAAGAAGACGAACACTCGCGCTCCGTAGAATGTCACTGGAATGTGCTATGTGTACACGCGGCTTAATACGAACGCACGTAGGTATCAAACCGTTATCACGACATTTTGTTAGAAAAATTGATGAAGTCTCTAACCTCACTTTTTTCTTCCGTAACGATTCTAGATGGCGCACTTTGTTTGCAATTTCCGGCCCGTATCGGTTTGCTAATAATATTTTTAAACTCACACGATTTGTATACATTATAATTATATGCAATCGGGTCTTGTTCGTGCATTTTTTTAAAACAATTAATTTACCTCGACGTTTCGGCTACG